TAATGTCTATTGTGGAACAAATTAATTTTTGTCCCATAATTGTTGCTCCAATTACATACAGATTTCATATACTAAATGTAATGTCTATTGTAGGACAAATTAATTTTTGTCCCATAATTGTTGCTCAATTACATACAGATTTCATATACTAAATGTAATGTCTATTGTAGGACAAATTAATTTTTGTCCCATAATTGTTGCTCAATTACATACAGATTTCATATACTAAATGTAATGTCTATTGTAGGACAAATTAATTTTTGTCCCATAATTGTTGCTCCAATTACATACAGATTTCATATACTAAATGTAATGTCTATTGTAGGACAAATTAATTTTGTCCCATAATTGTTGTCTATTCCAATTACATACAGATTTCATATACTAAATGTAATGTCTATTGTAGGACAAATTAATTTTTGTCCCATAATTGTTGCTCAATTACATACAGATTTCATATACTAAACATAATGTCTATTGTAGGACAAACAAATTTTTGTCCCATAATTGTTGCTCCAATTACATACAGATTTTATATACTAAATGTAATGTCTATTGTAGGACAAATTAATTTTTTGTCCCATAATTGTTGCTCCAATTACATACAGATTTCATATACTAAATGTAATGTCTATTGTAGGACAAATTAATTTTTTTGTCCCATAATTGTAACTCCAATTTACAGATTTTATATACTAAATGTAATGTTAGGACAAATTAATTTTTTGTCCCATAATTGTTGCTCCAATTACATACAGATTTCATATACTAAATGTAATGTCTATTGTAGGACAAATTAATTTTTGTCCCATAATTGTATCCAATTCATACAGATTTTATATACTAAATGTTGTCTATTGTAGGACAAATTAATTTTGTCCCATAATTGTTTCAGATTTTATTTTAATGTCTATTGTAGGACAAATTAATTTTTGTCCCATAATTGTTGCTCAATTACATACAGATTTCATATACTAAATGTAATGTCTATTGTAGGACAAATTAATTTTTGTTAATTGTTGCTCAATTACATACAGATTTCATATACTAAATGTAATGTCTATATGTATGTAGGACAAATTAATTTTGTCCCATAATTGTTGCTCCAATTACATACAGATTTTATATACTAAATGTAATGTCTATTGTAGGACAAATTAATTTTTGTCCCATAATTGTTGCTCAATTACATACAATTTCATATACTAAATGTAATGTCTATTGTAGGACAAATTAATTTTTGTCCCATAATTGTGTCTCCAATTACATGATTTTATATACTAAATGTAATGTCTATTGTAGGACAAATTAATTTTTGTCCCATAATTGTTGCTCCAATTACATACAAATATACTAAATGTAATGTCTATTGTAGGACAAATTAATTTTTGTCCCATAATTTTGCTCCAATTACATACAGATTTCATATACTAAATGTAATGTCTATTGTAGGACAAATTAATTTTGTCCCATAATTGTTGCTCAATTACATACAGATTTCATATACTAAATGTAATGTCTATTGTAGGACAAATTAATTTTTGTCCCATAATTGTTGCTCCAATTACATACAGATTTCATATACTAAATTAATGTCTATTGTAGGACAAATTAATTTTTTGTCCCATAATTGTTGCTCAATTACATACAGATTTTATATACTAAATGTAAATTGTAGGACAAATTAATTTTTGTCCCATAATTGTTGCTCCAATTACATACAGATTTCATATACTAAATGTAATGTCTATTGTAGGACAAATTAATTTTTGTCCCATAATTGTTGCTCCAATTACATACAGATTTTATATACTAAATGTAATGTCTATTGTAGGACAAATTAATTTTTGTCCCATAATTGTTGCTCCAATTACATACAGATTTCATATACTAAATTAATGTCTATTGTAGGACAAATTAATTTTGTCCCATAATCGTTGCTCAATTAAACAGATTTTATATACTAAATGTAATGTCTATTGTAGGACAAATTAATTTTTGTCCCATAATTGTTGCTCCAATTACATACAGATTTCATATACTAAATGTAATGTCTATTGTTTGACAAATTAATTTTTGTCCCATAATTGTTGCTCCAATTACATACAGATTTTATATACTAAATGTAATGTCTATTGTAGGACAAATTAATTTTTTGTCCCATAATTGTTGCTCCAATTACATACAGATTTCATATACTAAATGTAATGTCTATTGTAGGACAAATTAATTTTGTCCCATAATTGTTGCTCCAATTACATACAGATTTCATATACTAAATGTAATGTCTATTGTAGGACAAATTAATTTTTTGTCCCATAATTGTTGCTCCAATTACATACAGATTTTCATATACTAAATGTAATGTCTATTGTAGGACAAATTAATTTTTGTCCCATAATTGTTGCTCCAATTACATACAGATTTCATATACTAAATGTAATGTCTATTGTAGGACAAATTAATTTTTGTCCCATAATTGTTGCTCCAATTACATACAGATTTCATATACTAAATGTAATGTCTATTGTAGGACAAATTAATTTTTTGTCCCATAATTGTTGAACAAATTAATTTTTCCAATTACATACAGATTTCATATACTAAATGTAATGTCTAAAGGACAAATTAATTTTGTCCCATAATTGTTGCTCCAATTACATACAGATTTCATATACTAAATGTAATGTCTATTGTAGGACAAATTAATTTTTGTCCCATAATTGTTGCTCCAATTACATACAGATTTCATATACTAAATGTAATGTCTATTGTAGGACAAATTAATTTTTGTCCCATAATTGTTGCTCCAATTACATACAGATTTCATATACTAAATGTAATGTCTATTGTAGGACAAATTAATTTTGTCCCATAATTGTTGTCCAATTACATACAGATTTCATATACTAAATGTAATGTCTATTGTAGGACAAATTAATTTTGTCCCATAATTGTTGCTCCAATTACATACAGATTTCATATACTAAATGTAATGTCTATTGTAGGACAAATTAATTTTTGTCCCATAATTGTTGCTCCAATTACATACAGATTTCATATACTAAATGTAATGTCTATTGTAGGACAAATTAATTTTTGTCCCATAATTGTTGCTCCAATTACATACAGATTTCATATACTAAATGTAATGTCTATTGTAGGACAAATTAATTTTTGTCCCATAATTCTCAATTACATACAGATATACTAAATGTAATGTCTATTGTAGGACAAATTAATTTTTGTCCCATAATTGTTAACTCCAATTACATACAGATTTCATATACTAAATGTAATGTCTATTGTAGGACAAATTAATTTTGTCCCATAATTGTTGCTCTCCAAATTATATACAGATTTCATATACTAAATAATGTCTATTGTAGGACAAATTAATTTTTGTCCCATAATTGTTGCTCCAATTACATACAGATTTCATAAAATGTAATGTCTATTGTAGGACAAATTAATTTTGTCCCATAAATTGTAGGACAAATTAATTAATTACAATTACAGATTTCATATACTAAATGTAATGTCTATTGTAGGACAAATTAATTTTTGTCCCATAATTGTTATCCAATTATATTTCATATACTAAATGTAATGTATTATAGGACAAATTAATTTTTGTCCCATAATCCAATTACATATATTTCATATACTAAATGTAATGTCTATTGTAGGACAAATTAATTTTGTATAATTGTTGCTCCAATTACATACAGATTTCATATACTAAATGTAATGTCTATTGTAGGACAAATTAATTTTTGTCCCATAATTGTTGCTCCAATTTACAGATTTCATATACTAAATGTAATGTCTATTGTAGGACAAATTAATTTTGTCCCATAATTGTTGCTCCAATTACATACAGATTTCATATACTAAATGTAATGTCTATTGTAGGACAAATTAATTTTTGTCCCATAATTGTTGCTCCAATTACATACAGATTTCATATACTAAATGTAATGTCTATTGTAGGACAAATTAAATTTTGTCCCATAATTGTTGCTCCAATTACATACAGATTTCATATACTAAATTAATGTCTATTGTAGGACAAATTAATTTTTGTCCCATAATTGTTGCTCTCAATTACATACAGATTTCATATACTAAATGTAATGTCTATTGTAGGACAAATTAATTTTTGTCCCATAATTGTTGCTCCAATTACATACAGATTTCATATACTAAATGTAATGTCTATTGTAGGACAAATTAATTTTTTGTCCCATAATTGTTGCTCAATTACATACAGATTTCATATACTAAATGTAAATTGTAGGACAAATTAATTTTTGTCCCATAATCCAATTACATACAGATTTCATATACTAAATGTAATGTCTATAGGACAAATTAATTTTGTCCCATAATTGTTGCTCCAATTACATACAGATTTTATATACTAAATGTAATGTCTATTGTAGGACAAATTAATTTTTGTCCTATATTACGTACTCCAACCGCATACATATTTCATATACTCAAATTTCATATAGTCATATATTCATATTTCATTGTTCCTTATTACATTTCATATTCTAAATATAATGACTGTTGTGGGACAAAGATAGTCTCTTTGTGCCCAATAATAGTTGCTTTATTTGCTTACACATTTCATCCACAAAGTCTCACAGTTGTTTTGGGACACAGACATTACTTTTTATCTTCAGAACAAAGCTTAAAAATCCTCCTAATAGTAGCTTTTACTAGTTTTGTTTTTGTACTTTCAGAAATAGCATAAAATAAGGACCTGATACAAAAATACAATTTGCAAGAAAACAAACAAAAAAAAAAAAACAAAAAAAAAACAGAAGGAACGTAATGACTTTTTTCATTAATAATTAAAATGAAATTAATAAAACCAAAATATGATCTAATTTATCCTAACTGACTAATATAAACAGCAGTCTCTTGATCATTATGTGATTCATGTTTTCGATTCAGTTGATTTCTAATCTGTACGCATTGCGATGTTTCAGTGGATAAATCAAACAGACGTCTATCTCAAATCGAGTTGACACGTATGAATTTGAAGAAAACCGAAAAGACGGGAAGTGACAGCGAAGACGATAGGGTAAGGTTTTGGATCAGTGAACCTCATTCACTGAATTTCTTTCTGTCCTTTCTAATCAAAAATTTGAATGTCTTAAATCCGTATATGTTGTATGTATTGTTCATTAATTTGTACTGTGTCCAAAATAATGTCAATTTTATTTTAAAACCGTTTTTTATTCTCCTTTGATATAACTATGTTCTCTTTTTTTTTTTTTTATTCACATTTAATTTTTAATCTCTTTTTAAATATATATTCATTTAATTCTATTCTTTATTTTAACACATCGAAGGATAAAACATATAATAAATTCACATGTTTAAAATCAGTTACTAAATTTGAAAATGCGAGTCACAATATAACCTTAAATATTATAAAACAATTATGTCTTGTGTTGCGCGCTGTGAAAATCTGTTGCACATCGAAACATATGATGTGTATTTACATGTTGAATGTGTTTGCTCACTTCACTGATAAACCATGCATCTTAACGTTTTATATGATATCAGTTACTTTTCAGATTTTGATTGCAAACCTACGGAAAATACGTTTTACACATGAAGAAAATATTGACGAAGCATTTAAACCGCGCATATCGTTGCTAAAATAAAATGTTAAATTATTTGAAACGCAGTGATAAAAGTAAATATTAGGTTTTGCAAAAATTAAGTTGAAACTTAGGTGTTGAATATTGGAGGGATATTTAAGAGGACTGCATGATATATAAACTGAGGAATAAAAAGGGCAAAAGTGTTTCCACCAAAAGACACGACCAAAAATAAACTGGGGAACGCCGACAAAGAACAGTAATCCATTTTGAAAATGAGTTAGCATGAAAAAACTCTGTAAATGGGAAATAATGAATATATATATATATGTGTGCGTGTGTGTGTGTGTATGCAACTATTCTCAGATGGAGTGTATATGTAGAAGAGTCAAAATGAATAAAAAGAAACAAGAGAAAAAACTATACTTAGCCGACGCGTTTAAAAATGCGTTCATACCTATTGTCTCATTTTCGACTCGTATTGTTTCAAAATGGAATAAAAAGCCACGAATTTAATTTTGCAATTAAATTAAATTAAACTTTAAATTCGTGGCTTTTAGCTTCCAGCTCAGAAAAAAATATATTTAAATCAATTAATTTATAATATTAATGCTCTGTAAATTTACATAAGCACTATTTTGTAAAAAAAATAAAAATACCTATAAGAACACCGGATTATATATCTTACATTTATATATATATATATATTTAAGAAACAGCAGATATTTTGTATGTGTCTCAAATATTAAAAATATTAAAATAATATAAAAAATAAAGCATTAATAATGTTATTTAAAAAGATTACTTAACTTTAATATTTCTTTGTTGTTGATTTCCTCGACTTCGAAGTTTCTCTGAAATGACCATTTTTCAAGGGGTTCTGTTTTTGTGTTTTAGAAACACAAAAGAAACCAAAAAATGACATAAAAAACAACAAAAATGATATAAAAGTTAAGAAAACTTTTTATATTATATATATATATATATATATATATATATATATATATATAGTCAAATAGTAAGAATAAAAGTTAATGCTTAAAATGTAAAATAGATAACAGATTTTGATATTATTGTATTAATTATATGACAATATATCATGGATGAGTTCACCGTCATTTTTCGACGTATTTGATGGCCCAGCAGCTCAGTTCATAGTAAACAAACATCAATTATAATAATATCATTTATTTAATAATATCAGAATATGCTGTCTATTTTATTTTTTAAGCTTTTGCCTGATTTTGAGTTTCATCCTTTATTCTTATAAATTTATATATATATACAGTGTAACCCGGATATAAGAGACCCGGATATAAGAGAGACCCGGATATGAGAGATTTTCTCTGGTCCCAAATTAGAGCCTGTGTAAATGTATATAAAATAGACCAAACCCGGATATAAGAGAAACCCGGATATAAGAGAAACCCGGATATAAGAGACTTCTTCTCCGGTCCCGACAACTCTCTTATATCCGGGTTACACTTGTATATATATAGTTCCAATTTTCCTAAAAATGTCTGCATTATTTGAATGTGAAAAAAACTGTTCTTAGATGAGAAAAATGCAATATATACATACGTACGTTCGTATATATATATATCTTTTTTTTCTGGCGTTCCTCTCCTCTTTTAGATGAAATCTACGACCCTAGTTGTTTTACATAAAGTTTTAACTTTCATTTAGTTCGACCAGTATACGAAATATCACGATTATTTGATCATTAAAGTTAAACTCTATAAAAATAAATGAATAAAGCACAATCTATTCGTCCTGAGAATAGAAACGAGGCCAAAAAAAAAAAATTCAGAAACAATGAATTCATTACTGTATCCTTTAGTTATAAGAAAACTTTAATCCAGTCGTGTCTAATAGATAGACTTGCTAAAGTTACTTGTAATTAATCTAAATTTAAAGAAGTTTAAATTTAACAATTTTAATAAGATAAGAATTATAATAACTGCATTGATTAAAATAAAACGTAACACAATTTCTTTTTTTAAGTTAAAAACAAAAATAATTTACTTCTTAACAGATTTTAATATTTCAGTGGTTGTCAAGGAATTTCCTGGTTCAATACAGCTTTTCTGAATTAAAAACAAAAATAAGACACAAATATTTCAAAATTTCAGTATTACTATTTTTCCATCTTTTTTTTTATTTTTTTCACAAAAAACAAAAACAAAAATGATGACGCTTTCCCATTTTAGTGTCATCAACATGGCAACACTTCACATTCCCTGGAAAAAAATCAGCAATTTACATACATGTACCTCATCTGAAACTTCTGCTGAAAAATCCTCAGCACATAAAGAAACAAACATTTTGAATTTCATTCTTTTTTTCTTTTCTCTTTCCAGCAATAAAAGTAAAATCTTATTTAAATACAAATACAGTTTGCGTGTGAATGAATGACAAAGAGAGTATGCATTCCATATTTTTCAAGGATAAACAAATATACTTCAATCGTTAAATCAGTTTGACGATGGAAAGAAAAAATGATTTCTTTAGAAAAGAATCTATTTAAACAACGATCAATTTTCTTGAGCAAGAATTTATTTTTTACAAACAAAAACAAATTTTGTCAAACAAAAATCAATTTTCTAGGACATAAATCAGTTTTCTTGAGAAAAAAAAAAAAAGATTTTTCTAAGCAAAAAATTAATTTTCAAGAACAAAAACCTCTTTTATTGAATAAAAATTCTCTTTCATCGAGTAAAACCAATATTGACGATCAAACATATAGTTTGTTGAGCAAATTTTTCTCGGACAAAAATTAATTTTCCCGGAAGATTCATTTCACTTATTGAAACTAATCGTTCTCACTTTCGATAAATTACACACACAAACATACACATATAAAACCATTTCTGCGGCGTAATATCATTATGTAAATGTAAAATTTTTCTTTAGATGTATATATAAATATATACATATATGTGTGTATGTGAGAAAGAGAGAGAGAGAGAGAGAGAGAGAGAGAGAGAGAGGGGGAGAGAGGGGGATATATATTTTTTATGCTCTTTTAAGATATTTTCATTACTCTTTATTGAATTTACTGAATTTAATGTTTATCAGCCTAGAGATCGAAATGCATAATTTCTTTATTGATACTTTTGATCTATACGCCGGTAGACATTAATTTTAGTGTTTAAAAACCACGAATATCTACTCGGAAACGTTTACGAACTAAATATAAAATATATAGTAATAGTTTATATATATATATATATATATATATATATATATATATATATATGCATTTATGCGTTATGTTTAGAGATACAAATATTTAAGTAAATGTTCTGTTTATAATAAACAGTATTGACTACAATTATTTATTATAAACAAAGCATTTACTTAAATATTTGTATCTATAAAATAACGTATGAACAGAAAATATATTAAACCAATTGTCGGACTTAGTCCATTTCATAATATATATATATATATATATATATATATATATATATATATATATATATATATAGAGAGAGAGAGAGAGAGAGAGAGAGATAGATAGATAAGAAGAAGACGGAGAACAAAATCTCCTCCGCAAATCTCCAGTTTTATGCGTATGCTTGCATATAGTTTTTTAAAAGCGATGATTAGTAGAATTGTAATAAAACCTAAACTCATGATGAAAGTGAATTTGTATATATGTTTTTGTTCTTGAGAATTTACAACTAAAATATTAAACACTATTTATTTATTAGATTGCTTATTTACATGAATAATTTTATATTTACAACATTCTAAATAAAGACCTCATAGAATTAGAACTAGTGCAAGGAAATATTTATCATTTATCAATTTATAAAGAAATAAATACGAAATTCAGATATTTATAAACATTTACTAAAGTATTACTTTGTTTTAAAATATACTAAATGCAGTTTGAGCTACAAATTTTACAACGCACGTGTCACTTTGTTGCACAGCTGACAGATGCTCAAAAGATGGAATACCGTAGTTCATTAGTAAACAATTGGACGCATGTAAAATCAATAATTTGTGAATGTTGAAGAATGTTGAAGAATGAAAGACTCCTGCAAGAATATTTTTGGTTCCCCTGCTTTCAGAAACCTTATTACAGAATGAAGAAAGTGATGTTTGCATAATACATACAACTAAGAAGTTAATTAAATATATTCAACTGTATGACGTATCAACCTGATGAGGTATATATTTATATATGGTCCCTATATTGTTGCTTCCAGTGGCAGTGGTGGTGTATATGTTGCCAAAAGTTGCCATGTTTATATTTTTTGTGAATAACCTTCAAAAGCATTGATTGCAAAAAGCATTTTGAATATGTATATATATATAAATAAATATATATTTATATATATAGATGTAAACAATTTTCTATATATATATGTATATATTATATATATATATTCACAACTGTTTTGCTTTTTCTCTTTTTCACTTTCTTCTAATATATGATGTTTTTTTGTTGTTATTTGAGTTT